TTAGTCAGGTTTCCATTTCACGTCTTCACAACACTGCGGCTCGACTCTTGACACTAAAATCTTCTGATCYGCTGCTTTTGGTCATTCCGAAAACCAGCTCGATCTGCCCTCCGACACTGGACAGGCCTCATTAATTCCTGTTTTAAAATCTCTTTTAATAACACACCTGTTCTCTCTGACTTTTAATCAAGTGTGATCTTTTTTCCTGTATTTTATGTTTCTGTGTTTTTATCTTATGCTTTTGAATTGTTGTTTGTTGTTTAAATTCACTTTTTCGCCTTTTGTGTTCAGCACATTGGTAACATCTTGTCCTTTTTAAAATGTGCTTTGCTGCTGCAGAGGGACCAAAGAGCCACAAGTGGCCCCAGAACCACAACTTGCAGCCCTCTACTCTTGACCTGGAACACATGCAGCACCTGTAGAAAAACGAAGCCTCGTTTGAATGCATTTCAAGCCTCTGTTGTTGGCCTGTACACTCTCGCAGCAGCTTTGTTTTATTTGCTTGTTTACACCTCAGCTCGGTGTGGGCGCGCACCGTGATTTAAAAGTAAAATGGTAACCAGGGGAAACTGGAAATAGCAGTGACCAGCGGGCATTAACAATAGCGGCAGTAAAACTAACAATGAGAACCGAGGCAACTGAAGGTTGTAGACGCCTTCTCACCAAAAAAAGATGAAAACAAAAGCAATAAAAGCAGACACTGGAATAAAAAAAAGGCTTTTGGAGAGAAAAACAGAAGCAGCGATGTAATATTTCAAAGCAGTCACACGAACAATGTGAGTATTTCAGCCCTCTGGCCAACAGTACGCCCTGCAGCTCCTTGTTCTCCTCTCAGCTGTTTCTGAAGGATGAGTCTGACCCTTTCAGTCGCCTGAAAAGCATCAGATCCATCAGCGTGAGGGAATCTAAACGTGTGACAGGCCTCAGCCTCGCCACAACCCTGCAGGATTGACTCTTTTATTTCATCTTTGGGAAAACGAGTTTAACGACCTCAGGATAGCATTACATTACGCGTAAAGAATGTGCTGACATTGAGTTAGTGTCTGCAAATTTCACCGTCTTTRGGCAAAGACTATTAACTTTAATTAGGTTTTAATGAAGTCCCCACCAGAGTGYTTTACCTCGAACAGAGACGGATTTAAACAAGGATTTTAGATCATCGCGAGGAAAATCTAACTCACAGAAAAACCAAATTAACTGATTCAATGAATRAATACGCAACAAAACAACCACAGCGTGTGATTGTTGTGACTCTGTTCCAATAAATTTATTCAGCAGACTAAATTCTCCTGCAGGAAGTAATTTTATTCAAGAAAAGTTAGCGCACACACCGATTTCAAACTGACAGAAAATCTTACACAAACAGAGACAGGAAATCCTCCTGTGAGTGAACTGCTGAGTGTCTAATTGTACAGCGGACAAGCTGCACCTGAACGCACCGCAGGAGGTGTTTATTCAGTGCAGKGTGACTGTATTCACTCAGACGGAGGACAAGATGTGTGGCGATTCGTTTTGTCTCGGTTCAAACCAAATAGGCCATCTGGAAGTCACAGTGTGAGGAGGAGGGRACCTGCTGACCCACTTCATTGTTCACTCTGTGGCCCTGCGGGGCCAAACGCTTCGTACATGTGGGTCAGGGTCTCTGCAGGACTCTGTGTGTGAGACGGTTGAATTCATCCACAGACAGGTGTCRAAGGAAAGAGAGAAAAGTGAAGAAACTGATAAGTTGCAGTGGGAATACTGAGTGTTGAGTTTGCTGAAGAATGAGTTTTTGTTTAAGTTAAAATAAACAAAATAAAAGCTAAAATCATCAGAAATGTGTCTAAAAAGGAAAATCAGCAAAACCAGAGCTAAAAGCTAAAAATTAGCAAAATAATAGCTGAAAGTTTAAAAATACATAAACTTAAATGTAGCTAAACGGGAACTAGAAGCTAGCAGTAGCAAAATCGTAACTAAAAGCTAAAAGTAACAATGCAGTGGCTAGAAATTTAAAGTAGGAAAAT